TTTCTTCATTCAAACCTTCTTCTTCATCACCATAACTTTTCATCTTCTCTGCCATATGAATGTGCATGGCCCTAAGACAAGAGTGGGTCCTTCGACCCACTTGTCTTACAAGTTAATCATGATAGTGTTGTGCAGAAAATAACGAGAATGCAGGTCAAATGAGGCGATTCTGAACCAGCTGAAGCATTTGGGGGGCTTTCCGTTGTAATCTAAGAGAGCGCCCGGGCGAATCAGCCCAAATAAGTCACGGACCCAGGTGAGGTTAATCTCCACCTCATGAATAAAATTTCTCTCTCACTAATTGGGCACCTGCCCTTGTTCTGTGAACAAGGTTCTCGAGGGAGCGATCTCCGGTCCCGAGTCTTCCAAACTCGATACACGTGACACCCGATCACCTAGATCCGGGGAAGCAAGATTGAAGCATCCGACCACCTCCACTAAAAACGTATATTTTTAGTGACAAAAATACCCTTTGACAAGAGGGAGAATACCATAGGGCCATAGGGTGCGATCTTTGCATCACATCCCAACATAAACCACTTCTTTGTTCTAAGAGATAATTATTAAATAAGGGACTCAGATGAATCAATTACAAAAATAGAAAGGGAATTAGGTCTGTTTGCCACTACTATGGTCCTGAGCAGGTGCTATAGTTTTCGCTTGATAGAAGGCAATCTCACTTAAATGTAACGTCATGCGAAATCCTATTCCTATTGAGAAAGGTTCTCTTCACTACATTGTCTGGAAGTGCTTCTATGGCAGCCGAATTTTGGGATATCAACGGGGGTAGCCTTTGAGTTTCAGTAATGGTAATCCTTTCGGTAGACATGGCTAGGTTATTGGGACCACCAACTCTATAATGAGATCTGACAAGAAGGTTACAAGCAACAATAAGAAGGAAAACCAAAAAATACTTGTTTGTCTATATCCTCCCTGGTGTTATTTATAGAATGAGCTTTTTTTGGTGAAAGGGCACAATATCAAGGGTTACCTTGTTCGAAGAAAGGGAAGAAGACAAACCTCTTTGTCCCGCCGCGTGCCTCTTCAAGCTTCCCTCCCCCCTCACTTTGGGCCATTGATCCCTCCTTACCTAGGGATAGTTGGGTCAAGATTGAGACAATGGGAATTCTCTCTCTAGACACTTGTTGGATATTATGATTGTGAAATCTTTTTTCTTTATGTCTCTCTAGCCGCCCTCTCTCTCTCTCTCTAGCCGCCCTCTCTTTCTCTCTCTAGCCGCTCTCTCTCTATGTCTCTCTAGCCACCCTCTCTCTTTCTCTCTCTAGCCACCTTCTCTCTTTCCCACTGAAAAATTTCCGTGCTCCACCGAAAAATTCACCGGACAAGTAGAAAATTTGTGCCCTCTATAGATTCCCGGGACCATCATGGCTGAACCCCCTAGGTCGGGACCATCATGACCAACAACAAACCACGAGTGAACATCCGCACCCCAATCAGGAGGAACAATATTGAAATCATAGAAACGGGGCCTCCCCTTCAATGTTATGCTTCAAATGTTCGGGAACCTCTTGACTAAGATTTCAGGAGAAAGAGAGTAGCAATTCTCAATGAAAACACTGGTTCTACTCCACCTCGCTATCTCATACCAGTGCTTGCATAGAAGGACGCAGAGCTCCTATTCTTGTGCAATTTTACAAAGTTTGTTTTGATGTTGGAAAACTATTTAAGTTGATCAGCTTGAAGTCAAGAAGTATAAATATGGGGATAAAAAGATGTTTTTAAGTCTAAAAAATAATACATCTTGCAAAATAATACCTGGACCATTCATTTTCAAGATTTTCATGCGTTTATAGATCTACTTGATTTAAACCATTTTGGGAATTTAAAATTTTATAATTTCAAATAAAAATATATTTTCAGGCCAACCTAAACATTTTCGATACCAAAATTGCATTTTATGACAAAGTCTATAGGTGCCGCTTACTTTGACTGATTAAGGATGAAGCCTTGGGCAAACCACACCCTTCTTTCTAATACAATTTGTTGGAGATTTTATGTCTTCTCGTGCTAAACAAAGTGGAGGAAAATATTAGCAAAGTTTGCTTAAAAATAACGGTGAGTCCGTTTGCGACTATTAACCTAATTAAAGTTAGTCTAATTCCAAATTTGTTTACTTTAATGGATATTTGGCCATAGCATAGATTTTATGCGCTGTTGTACCAACCGTTTACCAAAGCGGTTCTAAAACCAAACAATCTAATTACGAAAAGGGAAAAAAAGGGGAAATTTTATTTAGAACTTTAATTTATTATATTATTTCATGGTAGACTTTCTTTCCGTTTTTCTTCCAAGCCACATAAGAAAACTTCTAAAGATTTCACTCCACCCCCTCATCTCTGATCTCCCTCTTTGATTGACTTTTTACCTTAAAAATTAGTCCCAATAAATCTTTTTATACCATTTCAACCCAAAAAAATTTTTAATCTTTTTTTTTGTTTTCCACCCATAAAAAAGTTTTTGGGTTGAAATAGTATAAAAAGACCTTTTGGGGTTAATTTTTATGATCAAAGGTCAATAAATAAGGAGAAAAGATATGGGGAGAATAGTGAAATCTTTAAGAGTTTCCTTACACCGGTTGAAATAAAACAGAAAGAGGGTCTACCATGAAATAATACGAAGAATTAGAGTTTTATAAGAAATTTTTCCAAAAAAAAAAAGAAGAAATATATATATATATATAATCTATCATATCCTAAACCATCTACACAAAACCATCCACTGTTGTGTAGATGAACTTCTTAAATAGATTCTCTCAATAAGAATCCTCTCAATTCAATATAAGTCTTTACATCTTATTGGCACATATAAACTCTCAATTTTCATCATCCATGTTAAATCATAAGAAAAGAAAAAATATATATGCACTAATTTTTAGGGAAATTTTGTTGAACATTTGTTACACATATATCATTGAAATATGGGTGTGGTTTATATAAGGTTGCAATCTTAAATAATCCAATTAAGGCCCACCTCCAAATTTTATCATAATATATAATTTTTGTTTAAAACATTATAAAGATATTCTGAAAATCTATTTTCATATCCAATCATACAATTTTAAACTCAAAAAATGGTTAAAATCAAATAGATCTATAAACATATGAAAATCTTGAAAATAGACGATCTAGATAATGTGTTGTAAGATGCACTATTTTTTGAACTCAAAATCGTTTTTTATATATATATTTATTCATCTCGATGTCAAGATCAATTAGAAGGTTTTTCAACATTAAAACAAAATTTTTTGATAGATTTTTTAAGTGCATCTGTAATTCTCCAGTTGAAACCTTATATAAACTTTTTCCTTGAAAAATTAAGTGAAAGGTAAATAAAGAGAGCTAGGACTATGAGATAATCAAAGCCGTTGCTTAGATTATAAGCCACATGACCAAATTGCTTTTAGTGGCATAAAAACTTTAAATTTTCTCAAAGCCAAGAATCTCTCAACGTGCACGCCAACGGTACCAGTTTGGAGTAGTCTGGACTCTGGAGCAGTTTGGAGAGGTATATACCAAAGGGTGCGGTTTGTATAGAGCGGAGGATCTAAACAATCAAACTAAACCACACCTTTAAATAGTATTGAGAAATGTGGTTGCAATACTATAAATCTTAGTGATAACCTTAAAATACATTTTCAACTTTAATTATAAAATAAACCTTCAAAAATTGTGTAGACCAAGGAGATCTATGAAACATGAAATTCTTGAAAATTGACTTGTCCAAAATGAGTTACAAGATACACTATTTCCAAAGCTTGAAATTTATTTATTTTTCTCCTGTCCATGCATCTTGATGTCGAGATGATCAATTTGAAGATATTTAGACATCAAAACCACCTCTTCTTGTGAAATTTTTAAGGCGGGCCGTAATTTGATTGTTAGATCCTAAACTCTATATAAACTTTTTCCTACACCAAAAGCTGTTTATTTATTTTAAAAAATATTATTATATGGGTGTAGTTATATACGGTGTAAACCTTAAACAATCAAAGTGAAACGCATTTCCAAATTCTATCTCTAGATGCAATTTAAGTAATGAAACCCTTACGATAGTCTGAAAATCTATAAACATTTAAATATCTTGAAAATTGATGGTTTTGATAATATATTACAAAATATGCAGTATTTTTAAGATTTGAAAGTTGTCTTTCCATATCCATATATCTTGATATCAAAATAATCATTTTATTGCATTGAAATAACTTTTATCAATGGATTTTTGAGGTGCACCTTACATATATAATATTATGTTGAGTTTTCCCTCATCATATTTGTTCAATACCATTCTTGTTTGTTTCATGACATTGAAGTCGTTCCTGTTTGTTTGGTGGAGCTATTCATAGAATGGCAATAAAGAAATGACACCCTGGACAATGAATAAAACCGAGTCCTGTAAGCATGATCCATATTTGACTAATTGTGGATACTATTGATTTTTTCCTCTTTTACTTTTGCATAACTGAGTAATGCTATTTTCCCCAATTGCAACAAATTTGTACATGCCTATGTGATAACTTGGCCAAATTGTCCAGCCGATTGGAGCAAATTTTGCCAAATTTAACCCGGCGGAAGCTCAAAATCCTTGTTTTGAACTCGTGCACATAAATAAGTGAGCTATCCATAGAATGACACTTTAGAAACCTGGACACTAATTCTCTTGTTCTTCAAATTCACTCATGAAAACATTTAATATGACCTAAAATTTCTTTTAATGGTGTATGAATATACCCTATCTAACAAGCCAATTTTGAGATTAACATTCTTAATACTCTTGCCCGTCTCAAATGCTGATACATGTATTGGCATCTATGTAACATAAAAAATGACTGAACCAACCCTCTGTTGCAAAATATCGATAAAAATCCAAAAAACCCAATTTCCATGCCACTTTTTCTTTCTTTTCTTTTTTTTTCTCTTTTTTCATTTTCCTTGTTTTGATGCATACAATGGATTTTTAGGGTTACACAATACGCAAAGAGAGCCCATTAGCATACCTTTCAATTTAATAATCCCTTTGCTTCAACCAAGTGGTTATAATACACGCTGAAGATTCACAATCGAGAACATGTTCAAGTCTTTCTTGTTGTATCAAAGCTGTTCAGTACACATAGGAAATGTCTGGGGGTTAACAAAAGCCATTTTATTACCCATTTTGTGATGCTAAACTAGAATTAACTCACTGCCTTAAGCATTCTATGATATAAGAGGCATACAGATCCCTGCGCCACAAGTGTCAGACAGTATAAAAAAATAAGAAAAATAAAATCAAGACTTGAATAAATCTATCCTAATTAAATGGATGGTTAGATCAGGATGCATCAGCAAAGGAAAGATAGAAATCCATGTTTGCCTTTGGAAAACCTTAATCGTTCATTCCCAATTAATGTAGCCATAATATTGTACAGATGACGAGGAATAAAATTCAACTCACATGGAATACTTAATCGCTTTTATGGCAGCTTCAGCTGGAAGGAAGTCATTCACAGCAACCGACTTGTTCTCATTCTTCTTATCTGTGGTTTATGCAAGTTAATGGCCAAAGTATTTACTCAAAAAAAGTGCAAGGCCAAATAACACAATCGTATCAAATGAATCAAATAACACTAATAAAATCAACAGAATCAAATACACCAGTCAGATATCCATTACCAAAAGTCATACCACAAACTCATTCATTTAGCATGAACTGCAATGACCCATCAAAAGAGAAAGCATAATTTGTATCATTGGTAAACAAAGTTATGGTATGGGATGCAATAATGCCAAATAGTAGATGCCACATCCATTTTGCTGAAACTATATTTCCAAAAAAGAATGAATCTTCCAAAAACTATAGGTAAAGTACACTGTCAAAGGCAACATTCAAAATAGGGAAATTTATCAAACTACACCTATGATTTGAACTATTTAACATTTTACCCATAATGTTTTATCTAATTTTGCCCATCTTGCTTTTGATCAAAACTCAAATAGGCCATCAAATCACACATCAAAATGGGCTTTGAAATTATCGAAGTACACCTAGGGTAAAATGTTAAACAGTTCAAATGGTAGGTTGATAAATTTCCCTTTTTAATATAATATGCCAAAACAAGTAAATTCAGGGCATGAATGAAAAAGGAAAGGAAAACACTGAAAGCTATGATGTGGCAGAAATTTTTGGTATAGCAGCTCAGAGTTTTTCATATTAAAACCATGTGCATCTCTGTCCTTTGAAAGATCAGAACAACAAAAATACCACTAGTGTACTTCCCAAAAAAAAAAAAATCAAAAGTTTTCTGTTACTTGAAAACTTCCGAACCACTTAATTCATTTCGGGGATTCCAAACAAACTTGTGAATGATTTTGGTGCTAAAATAATTTTCAAGAAGAACAAAAAGAATAGACAAAATGGAGGAAATCGTATTCTTTATATAAGAAAATACAAGGGCATAATTAAGTCATTTTCCTCGATAATAATTCAGTAAATAAGTTGTAAGACTATTGAAATGTATGGAAGAAATCCGCAAAGCTGGCAACTATTGCAATTAAATAAAGAGTTCGAGGTTACAATCTTCAAAGAAGCGCCGTATCTCAGCAAGGCGATGTGGAGGAAGCTCCTTGATATCCTGATAATGGCGAAACTCAGGATCATCAGCGCATACTGCAATTATCTTATCATCCTTCTCGCCCTGCAAATGATTTAGGAACCAATATCAAAAGAACATTGTCTAAAAGAATCACAAAAGGTTCTTAGGCTCTAACTATAGACAGCTAAGGCTAAGACTTTCTACTTTGTGTTATTTTTTCACCATCTTTTTAATGTGAAAGTTTCTGTCCTTTTTAAATTGAGTGCATCCCCAAGTAATCGTAGTGTAGGGATCCTCAAAATAAGGAACAGAGCTACAAATACCAAGCAATGAACTGAAGACACAAAATCCTTGGGAAGATATCATAAACACAGAGAAGAAAAATTTCGAAGGAGATGCCAATCTCAAAATTCAAACACTGGTTCCCATGATAATGCTTCAGCCAATACTCATAGTGTGCGTGTCATTCAAGTGAGATCATTGTAGCTCTAGAATCATACTGTTCCTTTTGCACTCTTCTCTTAGTACAATTTGCATTTCTTTTAGGTTAATGGATGTTTTATTCAAAAAAAAAAAGGACCAAACTGAATAACAAGAAAGCCAGAATGACCTGATCAATCATGGGCATCAAGCCAATAGCTCGGGCCCGCAGAAAACAACCAGGTAGCACTGGTTCCTGTAAACCAAGAAATGATTGCACATAAGATCAAAATGATCGAAATATTTCAAAAAGATAAAAACCATAAATAGATCCTATAACATATACTAGGCTAAAGAGAAATACCTGCATCAAGACTAGCACATCCATGGGATCACTGTCTTCACAGATTGTTCGAGGGATGAAACCATAGTTGTGGGGATAAACAACAGATGAATAAAGAACCCGATCAATCTGGATTTATACCACAGTTAGAAAAACAATGTCCCAATGTCTTCCTCAGGCGTGTTTGCGTGGAAACATGAATAACATCATAGGAAACCTTTTCACTTCTTGGATAAGCGAGATGATGGATACTTCTCTTGAAGATGAGATATATGTGTTTCCACACAAGAGATTTATACTAGTTTTCAGCATTGGCACTTCAGGAAAGACAGAAATAATCGAATAATGTGATGATTTAGAGAATGATATGGATTATGGACAAAGTAAGGGAAACGATGAAAACAAATAAAAAACATGAAGATAAAAATGGAAATTTGGATGTACAGCTGATATTTGACAAGTCATGTAAATTCTTGCACCATATTTTGAAATAACTAAAAAATAAATAAATAAACTATTTAGAAGTTTCAGAGAAGGATGTGGGATACCATATAACAGTCCGGAAAGTATCTAAAAAAGACAATATTATAGAGGTTGGTCATAGAGGTTGGTCAGTTACATTTATATGAATTGTGAAACCATTTTATGTGATTAGGGTGTTTCTATGGTTGCTGGACAAGAGAAAGGATTAAAAGATGATAAGAATTTATATAGCTAGAGTTACAACCACTACCAAAACTTTAACATTTGTCATTATGGAAATTCACAAAATTGGCAATCATACAAATCTACATAAGTATCTGAACTACACCTGCATGATATTTATTATATCTGCCAGATCAAAAATCAACAGACTCTGTCTATGAATCAAGACAGGAGAAAAACTAAACTGAGACCATAAAATAAACTGAGACCATAAAATAGACTTACTTTTATGAGGCCACTAATTTTATCCAGTTCATATTTAACTTTGCTACCCTTTCCAATTTCCACAACCTGCAACAAAATTTCAAAAAATGAGAACCACATGAACTTTGTTGTCTAGAATGTAACAAATTTAAACAAAAAGGGACAGGTTGTCATCCAACATTATAGACATTTCACAAGTCATTTAAATGGAACGATAGAGAGACTCTTCTTCAAAGATTGCAAAGCAAAAATAATTATCCTATTTACAAACTGATATTCCCAAAATTAGATTATCAATACTCATATTTTAGTATAACTGATAATATAAGGCAGCACATGTATCAAAACATGATTATTGGATACACTTTATGTTGGTGTATGATATCTTTCGAGAGTTTGTTACAATGATTTTAAGTATGTATTTTTCACAACATATACTGGGATAGATAGAAATTCGTATAAAAAGATTTGCTAAATTTTCAATTCTGCATCTTCTTTAAAAAAGACTAAATTAAATTTGATGTATCTTAAAAGATGGCGTGCATGCTAATATGAATATTTTAGAATACTCATAAAAATGACAAACTCCTAATCAAATATGCATGAATTTTGTCCCAAACCACCATCACATAAATTTTATCTATGGATGTAAGAAATATTTGACAGGTATTCATATCCAATGTAGTCCCATTCGCTTTGCTTCAGCTGAAGACTTAATATTTTTCATCCAGGCCAATGTGAAGCGAAGAATGGGACTAATTCTTCATCCCGATTTGGCCCTCTCTAGTTTGATTAGGTTTCTATGGCTAAAGAGGACCACATCGGCCACATTAGTTGAAGGTAAGTTTCTAAAACATTTTCAGGGCCATTAATGGACCGCGGAATCAATATTTTCATCATGCATAAAAAAATTTTGGTTGAAAACTTTAAGGGTAGAACATTATTTTGTAGAGTATTAAAATACTACCTAGAAAGTTATGATAAATATCAAATTTGCCCCTGATTCATAGAAGACGAAAAAGTCCTTTCTTTTTGGTTTTCTCACCAAGGTTGAGGTTACTTTCGTTTTTCACTTCTCACTTCTCAGTTCTGCTCTTCTTCACTTCTCTTTCTTTCAAATTTGAAATTTGTAATCAAATCCATTGTTGCAAACTTGCTGAGGCCCTGACATTTTCTAATTTCTATTGGTTTTTAAATCAATCTCTCTTTCCCTTTCTCTAAATGTTAGATGCGCATATGTATTGAGTAGCCTATGCTAGAAATTTTAAAATGCACAACGAGCATTGGTCCATCACTACCACCATTGTTGTGTTTTTGATGGAAGTGTAGAATGATCATGTGGCCCTGAACAACACTTTATTGAGCTCAATGCTTGAAGGTTGTTGGTTACTGATGTATGTGAGCTTCTTTGCTGTTGAATGTTGGTCAGGCTGTCTTGAGTCTTGATACACTATTTGTGAAAATCGACTTGTAGTTTTTCCACAATTCAGAAAGAAATTTCATGCAGCTGTAAAATGTAAAGTTCTGATTCTATTACTAATAACATTAGCTGATGCAAATCGCTAGTGTTTTAACAGAATGATGCTTATTGATATTCCTGATATCTTGATTGCAACAAAAAAAAAAAAGGAAAGAAAGATATCTTGATTGCAATATTTTTTAATTTCTTTATTTTCTAATAAATATTATAAAAATAATCCAGAGGTCTACCCTTGAATCAGCTGAAGCACCAAAAAGCTTCCCTTCCCTACCCAAACCATCAAGGCCTCCAAAGAGAATCTGACAACAGTGCTCACACCTAAGGACTATCTACTAAGTCTCATGGAGTGTAGGTAGGAGCTCACAAGCGACAAGTCCAATAATAGGAGACTTTATTTATCTGCTATGAGGTATTTCAAGAACCAATTAAAGGCCAAACAAATTAGTTTATGGTCAACATTAAGGAACTTGAGTTGAATCACTTGACTACATTTTTGGATTTTAACCAAAAAACACAGCTCTCCTTTAACTGTTCCTCCAATCAGAGTTTCCTAAAAGCAGACAACGACCTAATTGCACTATTGGATCAATTGTGACAAAGACTATGTGTTATAAAGCATGAGCTGGATAAGAAAAGAATAACTTATATAAAACAACTCACAGCCACATCTCAAATGCAGAATATGCCAGAAAATGGAGAACTTGGCTTGTGCAAAGAGCTGAACTCAAGCTGTTAGATATCCTTTAGACAAAACGAATCATGGATGAATATCGCCAAGAAGTAGTGGTCACTCGACAACTCCCTCTAAAAACCCACAATAACCACACCTCAATGGTCACCTTTCTTGTTTATGGAGGAACTTAATGCTATTTATATTTATTACGAGTTTGAACTAAAATGCTTTTTATATTTATTTTTTTGAATAAAATGGTATATTTATAAATATAAACAAACAAAATACAAATCAACGCAATACGTGAAGAGGCACCCCACAGGTTGGGTGCTCAGAGTACAAAACCAGAATAAGAGAAATAAAGAGAGGCAAAGAGAGGGTAAAACAAAACAAAACGAGACCACAAGAAGAGGTAAATATGTAACCCACAAGTGGGGTAAACAAGGTACAATTGACAAAGAGTCAACAAGAATAAAGAGAGGTTGAAAGAAAATGTCAAGGCTGCAAGAATTCGTTGTTGTACTGGTCCAATTGTCAGCTGTTGAAAGAGGCCCTGCAAGAGGGGAGAGAATGCATGGGAGAAGGTAGAGGATGGAGGAGGCGGGAAAGAGTGAGCTTGAATGAAGAGGTGAAGAAAAGATGAAGGAGAAGGGCAAAAAGGTAAACAGAGGTAATGAGGGTTAGAGAAAAGATTAGAGAAGAAGGAGAGCTATAGGGTTGGGGGTGGGTGAGAAATCAGAGGGAGATGAAAGGGGTTATAGAGAGGATAGGGATGAGGGAGAAACAGGGTCTAGGGTGGTAGAATGGATAAGGAGAGTGAAGATAGAGAGAGAGAAGAGGAAGAAAGAAATGGGAAGGGTGAGAGGGGAAAGGTGGAGGGTGCAAGAAACCCTCAAAAGAAGATTTCAAAATCTCTCTTTCCTTCTTTGTTGTTGTTGTTGTTATTTTTCTTCTTTAACCCTTCTTTTATACTTGATGCTTTTGATACGTCTGTACATTATCAAACCTAAGTCTGAATTTCAAAAATGTGTGCATTTTCAGAGGTCTGACAAACAAGACTATAATTCTTAACTATGCGAAGTATACTCCACAATTTTTTCAAGAAGAGCACTTAACCATGAGTGGCAAAACATCATCACATTTGTTTATTATGCATCATTTGCAAAGGGCAGTGACACAATAATACACGTAAAACAGACATTAAGAAAAAGATTGACATTTTTTCCATCAAAAAGCTGTCATGTATGTACATACATGCCTCATCTTAGCAACTAGAACTCCCAAGAGTGCGAGCATTGCTTCCTCACAAAATTGTGGACTTGGAGCCACAAAGGTACCGGATTTGTCAATGGGACCTAGAGATCCATGCCTCATTTATGAAATCCAATATTACAGCACGTGTTGGCTCATATTAGACCTACTGAATGGAATTCAATTATCAGATTAGTACCATTAATCCATTATTGACGAGGGTATGAATATCTTTGTCAAGGATCTGACTTTGTAATTCTGTAGGCAGAATAACAAAAAGCCACATATTCTACATAGATTCCTCACTTAAACCCAATGAAGAGATATTCAAGGTTGCAACTGAATATTGTCAAAAAATAATGAGAGAGAAGGATCAATTGGCTCCACTGGTGGTCAAATTCTACCAAAAAAGTGGAAAGCCTGAACAGGCCAATTTTTTTGCCATTAGTCGAACACAATATTTGTTGCTTTTCTAAGAAATATAAGACAAATTAGAAAAAATTTATGATTCTATGCAATTTCTTCTCTCTTACTTATCCACCAACCAATCCAGGAGAAGACTAGGTAACAGACATGCCAAAAGGATGACATACCACCTGCCTAAGTCGGTGTTGTTTGGAAAGTCTGCTTCAATCTTGATTAACCTTTAAGAATGTTGCATAACATTGTCAAAAAACATCATGTTCTTTTTTCATTTATAAAGATTTATTCTGGACATGTAAGAATCAGACAGGAAAAGCTATTTTCCCATGAATGTCTGGTAAATTGAGAAAGAAATGATTAAAAGAATTTGCTTTTGGGTAGTTTTGAAATTTCATAGTTAATGACATTTTCAGCATTTACTTTAATCATGACGGAAGGTCTCAAAATTAAAAAATAATTGATAAATAATAAAATAATTAGCACCAGATTTTTAATTTATCTTTGGCACAATCTAAAGAAAAGAAGCAAAAGGCATACACTGGACGAATCTTAACAATAACTCAAATACATGATTTGGTGAAACCTCATTAGATATAAAGCAGAAAAAACAGAAGAGACGCACACATATGTAAAACCATTACAACTTTGTTTATAATAAACACATATTTAACATAGAGCAAAGGCCGAAGATTTCTAAAGATTAAGATTTATTGTGTGTGTATATCAATAGTGGGACTTCATTATACATCGCCATTTATTACGAAAGGCACTAAAACATTGAAAGAATATTGGGTTCGATTTGAATAGAAGCTCTACTGTTTCAGCAATTTCTATTGCAAGTGGTAAAATAAACATAATTTCATATGATTGGAGTATTTGCTCGTTTTTTTTTTTTTTGTTGAGAATGTCAACGGTTAATATTATTATCAAAGGAGTACAAAAGTATGGGTCGAGAGGACCCACAGACCGGGTCTCTCAACCAAACAAAGATCACAAAGAAGTAGACCTGTACAAAAAAGTCGGGAAGCAAAAATTAAGAGCTGTTCAGAGAGAGGGGCTTATAGAATACGGCCATTTACAAAAAAGCAAGTTGTGCAAAAGAGGAAGAAAAAGGCCACCCACTAAGGTCCAGAGCAAAACCTGCGACCAAACTTACGAATGCATCCAAGTCGCAGCTAAATGAGGGCTAAAGTCGGATTCCGAGCGGCTTCCTTAGCAAGACAATCTGCGAAGTCGTTCGACGTCCTCCAAATATGCATC